CAGAATTCCTCAGCCAGCAAAGCTGGCTGAGGAATTCTGGGAGTTGAAGTCCACAAGTCTTAAAGTTGCCAAGGTTGGACACCCCTGGTCTAATCTATCTATCTAGTTGTCTTATCCATCTGCCTGCCTGCCTGCCTGCCTACCTAGCACATTTTTGAACTGCCCCTCTCCCTCATATTTCTATCGTCTATTGATAGAAAATGAACAGCAGGATTTGGACAGCAATCTTTGGTGGGATAGCTTTCCTGGATGATACCAGGCTAGATGCAGTATTGCATATCAATCCAGAAATAAAATCAGATAGAGCCCTGGTTATGAAAAGTACTTTCAGCTATGGGGCAGAATGATATGATCACATCACAGCTCTTATTTTGCAGCTCATTCTACTTCATAGTAAAGCTTTATTTAAGAAATTTTTATTCCATGGTATATTGTAACACTACTCAATTTTTTTTTTTCATTTTTGACTCACTAGAGATTTTTGTGTCAGTGTATGAATCACGCTTCATGTTGCAGACCTCGGGTTAATGAAATAATCCTTGTGAAACACTCATGGCAATTGGAGTCTGAGCCTCATGGCCTTCACTAAGAGGAAATTTGGTGGCCTGACTGGTCTCTTTAACTCATTCCTTCCTCAGTATGATTTACATGCCAGTGATCTTAGATCTGTAATATTTCACACATGGTCAGTAAATAGGAACACAGCGCTTATGCTCTATACTCATATTTATGCAGAAGTAAAAAAAAAAGTTTTAAAAGTGTTTATGTGGTCAATACTATTAACTACAGGGTATTCTATGACTTGTTTCAGCATTCTGATGCAAATTCAGGCCTCACCAAAGGCAATAGTAATCTGACAAAGAACAAAGTTATCAAACAGGTAATAAGCGGGTACCACAGAAGAGTGGCTGGTACACTGACCTTTATCTACTTGCTGCACTAAACATTGTTATGGCCTTTGTCTCTACTCTGCTAAATAGGTACTTGAGGTCTTCAGTGCACATTCTAACACAAACTTCTGTGTAGGGGAAATACTTGCCTTGCATGCTGATGGGATAGATTCGTTCTAAATAAAGGCATTCCTATTGACTTCAGTGAGATTAGCCTAGAGGTGCAGAATGGAAGGTGGTTTAAAACTAGACCGTAGGAGCTTGGTTACAGGGAAATGAACTTACTATTGTTTTGTGTCTTAGGGCATACAGGGGAAAAAGGTTCCAAGCAAATCCAACTTGAAGGATGATGATGACAGGTCTGGCCCAGTTTTTATTTTAGTCCCAAATGGAAAAGAGCAAAGAATGAAAGATGAGAAAGGATTAAAGGTGAGAGAAATGCTCAGCGTCTGATTTCTGGGCTGTATTAGACATGAATTTCTATTATAAACTACATTTACTTTAACACTGGAAATCCCCCGATAGAAAGACATGTGGAGATCAAGTCATTTATTCACTTAATTGTACAGATGCATATTCTGCTCTATTGTACTTATCAATGTTATTAACAGTTCAGTGGACAAGCATACAAAATTAGAAGTTGTTCTGTTATTCTTTTTTGTTAAGCCTAGTCTACAAAATCTGCCAAGTTTGTTTTGAGTTACTGAGCTTAAAACAAGTGCATTCTTTTGGAAAAGTTCAGTGGGGAGGTGTCTCCTCATTCAGTATTAGGGAATGTTTCTACAATAACAAAAATATTTTATTGTATTTTTTTTAATGGGAAGATTGCTAAAATTTCACCAGCCGGCATGAGTTGAGATCAACATAACTTAGAATCACTAAGTTTGAGAAATACTGCACAGAACGAATAGCCAGAAACAAGCCTCAAATCACTGACTGTATGTGTATGCACCTAAGCATCTATGTTATAATACAGTTCTGATATATTAAAATACAAAGACTCAAGATTAGATTCACTTCAGCCATGAAAGCTCACTAAAGTGTTGTTTGTGAGATAACCTAACACATTTCCAATAAGAGATCTAGTTGACACAAGTTAACTAGAGGCCAAGGTGGAAGCATTAACCCTTAAATTTTTTTTGTAGACTTGTTCCTATTCAGATACAAGAATAAATTATCCTTTGGTTAAAATAATCAATTGTTTCTGGTATCTTCTTCACGACTGTCAAAAGTGGGATGGGTAGGAAGTACTTGCTTGAGGTTTAACTAACTAGACTTAGTGAAAGGAGAAAAGTGAAAGTTACAAGTCAAGTAATAATCCATATAAGCAAAAATGTTTCTTTTGTAAATATGAATTTCTTTTGTTATGTTAAGAAGATCAGTGTTACTTATAAATTACCTGTAGCTCAATAATGTAGTCTCAGTAAATAAGGAAAAAAACCTACACACGTACATGTGATGTATGTACATGCCACTTACAATTTACAGACTAATTAAGTAAAATTTAAGTTACAAGTAGGTTAAGTTACAGGTTTAATTTTTAAGAAGACCGTGTTCCCATCTTCCCTCAGGTTTTGAAATGGAATTTTACTACTCCTCGTGATGAATACATTGAGCAATTGAAGACTCAGATGTCTAGCTGTGTTGCCAAGTGGTTACAAGATGAGATGTTTCATACAGATTTTCAACGCCACAACAGAGCACTTAGTGTAATGGTTGAGGTGAGGAGCATTGACTTCTGACAGTTGATAAAACAATAAGAGCACTGGTATAACTTTTCCTAGAGCATGCAACTTTTGGAAATATCCTATTCAATTTAGAGCCTATATTCTCATAAGAACAGTGTAATTAGTATTGGCCTCTATCAAGGCACTGAATATGAGCATTTGAAACAAAATGAAATAGCAGAGTAGCTGATGCAAGTAGCAATTATGCATGTACAAAACAATTATCTTTGATCCCTTTGCTACTAGAAAAGCCATGGCATAATTTAATTGAAATACAATTTCTTGGTTTATTTTATTGTAAAAGAAAACACTTTTTTTTGCAAAACTTCACCTTGATTTTTTTTTCCTTTCAAGCACTTGGAGAGTGAAAAAGATGGAGTTATCAGCTGTTTAGATCTGATTTTGAAGTGGATCACTCTGAGGTTCTTTGACACCAATACAAGTGTTCTAATGAAAACTCTGGAGTATCTTAAGCTGCTGTTTATCATGTTGAATCAAGAAGAATACCACCTGACTGAAAATGAAGCCACTTCTTTCATTCCCTATCTTACCTTGAAGGTATCCAGAATTTAAAAAGCTGCATACTTGGTGTGTCTTGACCTCTTAGAATGGATAGAATGAAAAAAAAGAACCTAGATATTGTTGCTCACAAAATATAACAAAAAGCAAATTGTGAAATTAGAGCTGCCTCTGTGACAATATTGAGAATAATGATGAATGGAGCAAATCATCAGATCTTAGTTGGGCTTTCTCCTCAGGATCCTTCCCATTCCTGAATAAGCATAGGTGACAATATGCTTCAATTGTAGAATGCCCGATCTAAATTAGTGTAGAAGAATACTCAATATCATTAAAATTTCAGTCAATACTTTATATTAGGCAAATTCGGGAAAGTTTGATGCAAGAGGTAGCAAATTTTCATATTTTCTATGATTTAAAAAAAAATGTGAATATGGTCAGTAACCTAGGGAATTCCATTAACTGTATTCCAGCCTTCATATCTGGGATTAGTTTTGATGATGTTGATAATTTATTAAACTTGCCATTCTGAATGACTGTGCAGCTTACAAAAATCGGAAACATTACAATAAAATCAATAAAAAGTTAAATTTGATGAGATCAGCCAAGATGAGCTAGTTGTTGTTACCTGTAGTCAAGAGATCATCTAGGTCATGGTTGTCTCAAAGGTGCTTTTTTGCCTCCTGAAAAAGCACCTTTAGTGTTAATAAAAATATGAGAGCAGTTTTGAATAAAATACTTGCATTCTTAATGGTAGTAGAATGATGTCTATTAGCAAAAAAAAATACCAAATACATCAATTAGAAATTATGATCTTTAACAACTAAATTAATTGCAATACATGATAAAGTTGTTACAGTGTGTGTGAGAGAGCAATGTTTTTAATATCACTGCAAAAATTCACCAGAGAATTGTTGAGCAAATACCTTACAGAATTTTTTCAGTTCATTAGAGAACAAGTATCTCTTGTTCACTATAATGACCCATGAGATTTTGTATCTGTTTCTGCTGCTATACTTGCAAAGATTCTAATTTACAAAACTCTCAGAGCAACTGAGAACAATAATCAGGATAGCATTTTCCAATATGTTATTATGCTCAAGGTTAAATGCTCTCATGTTTGCTCCAGTGTATTTGTCACTACTTAAAATGTCAGAGTGAAAATATCTGAAAATTTAGGCATGCCTGTGATTCTCTGAAATTTTTGGATGTGAAAATTAAGAATATTGATTATGCTTCCAGTTTTTCTAAATATCCAAATATCTTCTCTGATTTTAGGTTGGGGAACCCAAAGATGTTATTCGAAGGGATGTACGTGCCATTCTGAACAGGATGTGCCTTGTCTATCCAGCCAGCAAAATGTTCACATTTATCATGGATGGAACAAAATCAAAAAACTCAAAACAGCGGGCAGGTGGGACATGTATAGATCAGCGGTTGCCAACTGGTGGGCTACGGCCCACTGGTGGGGCGCAAGAAAATTTTGGTGGGATGCAGAGAAATCTCGCCTCCAGAGCACTCCCCCAAAGCAATTAATCCAGGCTGTGCAGAAACACAAGGTTGCGCCACCCACGTGGCCCACAGGAACCCTCCCTGCCCACTCACTCCTTACCTGGCAAACTTGTCTGCTAAATTGCTATTTTTCCTTTTTCCGACTATCAGCTGTTCTGCTGTGTCGGGAGATTTAGATTACCTAGGGAGCAGGAAATGGTTGGATTTCTTGCTTTCTAGCTAGTCTTTAGATCTTTGGCTCTGCTTTTAAGCACAGCCCAACCTCCCTTAGGACTGAAGGTTCTGTTATTCAGTGCACGCTCACAGCAAGCAAATTTTATGTGACATACTGAGCTAGCCGATGGCAGATAGATAGATCACTGAATAATTCTGTGAGCAACTCAATCTGCCTGCCTGCTTTGCCTGATTTTGGGTAAAAGTTGCTCTTTTTTAATTAATTTTTTTTTTACATACATGGTGTATTGAGAGTTAATTTTGTGAGTTTGCTTGCTAGCAAATTTTATGTGACAGACTGAGCTAGCTGATGGCAGATAAGAGATCTCTGAATGAATCTGTGATTCTGTGAGCAACTCAATCTGCCTGTAGAGTCTGCCTGCTTTTGAGTAAAAGTTGCTCTTTTTTATATAAAAAGTTCAATATTTATATAAATTTTTATAATATTTACATACAAGCCATGCCCAGCCAGTCACATGACCAAGCCACACCCACAAATTAGGCCACGCCCACAGAACCAGTTAGTGGTCCCTGAGATCCAAAAAGTTGGTGACCTCTGGTATAGATCACAATATCTTATTACAGTCATGAAAATAATGGAACGGGCAGGTCACACTTAAAGTACTGATTTGTCACATTTCTGCATTGGATGCATGAAATACAGCAGATGCGTTGGTGTATGCAGGGGTAGGTAATTGTTTTCAGCCTAGTAAGGGATTGGGGATATACATTTATATATGCAATCACTCTACATAATTATTTCCAAAGGGAGCAATATGAGCCTTTTAGTTAATGGCCTAGTTACCATACCCACAAAGATGTCGCAATTCCTTAAAGTGGGGGTGGCATAGGAAACAATGAGATAGGAAGGATATGATTTTTAAAAATAGTAATAATTATGTTCATATTATAAAAATTATTTTTAATGCCTGTTCAGGCTACTGACAATAAATGTGAATGGTTAAGGGGCAAATGTCGCTATTTCATACATTGTTTTAGAGTGGGTCCCCATTTTCATCATAGAGACTTAATCATAAAGAAGAATTTTTACCTTGCCTAGAATAACAGTTCACTTTAATAAGAAGTGTGGTTGCGTTTAGGTTTTGTTTATATCTTCTTTTGTTATTCCCTAGAGTGCTTGGAAGAGCTGGGATGCCTAATTGAATCATATGGCATGAATGTGTGTCAGCCAACTCCAGGCAAAGCCTTAAAGGAAATTGCAATTCACATTGGTGACAGGGACAACACAGTCAGAAATGCTGCACTTAATACCATTGTTACTGTTTATAACGTGCATGGGGACCAGGTGTTCAAGCTAATTGGAAATGTAAGTAAACAGGAATAAAGGGGGAAAAATTAAATACTTACAGTGCATTGGATGATTCAGTTTAAGCGGTACAAAGTTACAACACACCTGCATCGTATAGCTGACTGAATATTGATTTTCAAGAACAAATAAATTGTACTTTACACTATTTAGTTGTTGACTAATGCATCATTCAGGTGTCAATGAATTGTAAGATGGTAAATAAATAAGCATTTATTCTTAAATCTGCAATAACAGTAACATGGAAAAAAATCTTTCTGAGAGTTTCACCATCCACATTCAGGTAGCCTATCAAGATATTTCAAAGTAAAGAACTCAGGTGATATCAAGTACCACCTACTTCCAAAATAGTACCTTACCTCGAATTATTTTTCTCACATTTCAGAACCACTGCTTTTGTCAAAATTCCAATTTAATTTTACTTATATTGTATTATTTAGAGCAGATTTCTGAATTTCTGGCATCAAAATGGTAAGAAAGGTCAGTCTTACACGAAACGTTACGAGGTAGAGGCCCTGCAAAATTGGAGAACACCTGTATTTTAATGATGATTTTATCTTATATTTTTTTTATCTTCAATGCTTTGAGTTTTAAAATGTATTGATACATCCTACAGCTACTTTCATATTCTCATTTTGAAAATATAATATGACAAATTAATGTTATTCAGTTTCGAGGACATCTCTGCACTTGGTCATGAAATCTGATATTCCTCTTGCAAGATGTTAGCTATTAGGGAAATTGTAAGTTAAGTCAATTGCTGCTTTGGGTCTTACTATTTCTCAAGTCACTTTCCTAGATCGGGAGTAGGAAAATAATAGAAGCATCCAGAATTTACCTACATGGCAGCTTGTGTCAACAAAATGGGTTAACATTTGTGAGAATTATATTTGTAGTGCCCCATAGTTTCTTTCAAACACCAATCTCAATTTATTTTTCATATGAGAGAGTTTATAGCTTACACCCATTGGGGAGAGAAATTGATGAATAATAAATAAATGAGAGACTCTGCCTTTGCTTATTTTCATGTTTAGAGGTGTTTGGGAAACATTTATACTTTACTTATAAAGGGGCAAAAAGAATAATTGCTAAGTACCAGTATTGGGAGGTAAATTGCATGTTAATTATTTTTTTCAGAAATTATGAAGCTTTGGAGCATTTTTAGAGGCAAATCTTTCATGACATTAGTTTTTCTTCTTGTACAGCTTTCTGAGAAGGACATGAGTATGCTGGAGGAACGAATAAAACGATCGGCTAAGAGACCAAATGCTGCTTCATCAAGGCAGGTAGATGAAAAACCCCAGCGTGTGCAAAATGCCAATGCCAGCGCAAACATGCTGCGGAAGGGAGCAGCTGAAGACATGTCTTCCAAACTCAAGTATGTTATGTGGAGAAATTGCTAACAGTGTGCAACATTTTCACAGTGTGTGCTAAAACATAGCTTGTTGTTGCCTTGTGTTTGTCTTTTGTTTTTACCATTGCTGCATGCATGAGACACAGATTGCAAAAAAAAAAAAAAATTGCAAAGCAAAATGTTTGAACCTTTCTTCATCTGTTTTGTCATGTCTTGAATGCTTTCTAAATGGTATTGTGCCTTTTTTCACTGCTTCTCCATGGACAGAATTATGTATCGCACTTATAGGATGTAAGTACTTACCACTAAATCCTTGGTAGCAGAGCTCGTACGATTTCTGTCTTTTCCCCCAATCATTAGTTATTAAATACCCTTTAGAAGAAGTTCCACATATTATAATAAAGCTTCTTAAAACTTGCGGTTCTAGGAAAAACTGATGTTGGATATGAGAAATAGTGTTGAGTGCCATCTTTTGGGTAAAAAAGTTAAGGGAGGTACTTCTACACAAGCAGGCATCCTTCAGGTGGCATTGGATACCATCCCATGTGAAATTAAGATCCCCATCTCTGTTTAATATGTGATTCTTGGACCCCTTCTAGAATGCCTCTTGGTATACCTTATGCCGTTGTTCTAGAATCCTCTAGTAGGAAATCCCTAATAAAATAAGACAAATGGCAAGTTGTAATTAAGAGTATAAAACTCAGCTGGGAATATTCTGGATTCAGAAACAGTGGTCACTAAGAAAGGCAACCTAACGTAGTGCCTTCTCCATATATGAATACAAACTAGATTCATTTGGATGAAACCATACTTTCTTGTTCTATCTTTAACATTTGTGGTGGTGCATATATTTTACTGTAAGATATAAAAGGGAAAGGGAAATCTTAACAAGTTTTTAAAGAGAGTACAGATTTCCAATAGTTAGTGTCATGGCTGATAACCCCTGCTTTGCTTGGTTAATGCAAAAGCTATAAAAACTACTGCAGGAAATCCTCAACCTACAACCATTTGTTTAGTGTCTGTTCAAAGGTATAACGGTACCGAAAAAGATGACTTACAGCCAGTTTTGCACTTACAACCGAATCTCCGTAGTCATGTGATCAAAATTTGGGCACTTGGAGCCAGCATTTATTTACAATCGTTGCAGCATCCCTGGGTCATGTGATCACCGTTTGCAGCCTTCTCAACCTGCTTCTGACGAGCAAAATCAAGAGGGGGAAGCTGACTTTGCTTAACAGCCACACTATTCATTTCACAACTGCCCATGATTTGCCCTAACAGCTGTGGCAAAACAGGTTGTAAAATTGGGCACGGCACACTTAGAAACTGCCTTCCTTAACAAAGGAGATTCTGGTATCACTTAATGGTTGTAAGTCAAGGACTATCTGCAGGTTTGTTTGTTGTTTTGTTCCTGTAATTAAACATAATCATTAGGGGACAACACATTTTGTTACCTTGGAATAGCAAGCCATTATTTGTTGTTTCGCTTCCTTAAGCGCTCCAAAAACTGAGCAGTAATGGGAGCTCCTTCCCAATTTCTTTATGAACTGTAGAGAATGTTGGGAAACCAGGGAGATTTCTTTGATGTAAAGTTGGACTCTCTACATCGAAGTCCCAGATAATATAGAAAAGAATGTTTTCCATCTGTAGCTTATGATGATTTCAGAATGTCACTTCTGTTGGGAGGACAGCATGCTTCCTGAAATAATAAGGAAAATGTGTTGCTTGATTTTTATAGCCAAGCACGTAACTTGAGTGGCCATTCAGAGGCAATGCATACAGTCCCTCGGGAATTTCAGCTGGATCTTGATGAAATAGAAAATGATAATGGCACAGTGCGATGTGAAATGCCAGCACTTGTTCAGCACAAACTGGATGACATCTTTGAGCCAGTCTTGATTCCTGAACCTAAGTAAGTGTGGGGGAATTTTGTTTGTTTTGACCCAGTATGTGCATATTATAGGTATAATGTTCTTCTTTCTCATATATGAAGGTTCTATCCAAGGCCATAAAAGAAAAGATCTGAGCAAAAGGAAGTCAATGCTAATTGATGTAACTATAGCTAAATTTAATAGAGCATTCCATTTATGAAATACATTGATTTATCTGCATATACCAGCCGCTGTCTCATACAGAGACATACATGTTCCTCTCCTTTCTTCTAGCAGCAATGCAAAACACACACAAAAAATACCCTACCCATAGAATAGAGATAGGAAAAGGTAGAAGGAAAAAGGAGAGGAAAAAAATAGAGATGAGATGAGACAAGGAGAATTACTGTTAGCTAAGACTCTGCAAAATTTGCAAGTGTTATTTTGGAAGTAGTGTGGAAAGGTTTATCTTCCAGTAATTGCAAAATCTTTCCTCCACCCAGGGTCCGTGCTGTCTCCCCACACTTCGATGACATGCACAGCAATACTGCTTCTACGATCAACTTTGTTATCTCCCAGGTAGCCAGTGGGGATATCAATACTAGTATCCAAGCTCTTGCCCAGGTAAGTGGTGTTCCTTGTAGATGGCAGCAACATAGTCTCCTAACGATCATCAGCTACTGTTTAACAGATCAATAAATTATTTGCGAGAGTGATGAGTTGCACATTTGGTGGAGCTGAGTGTCAGGTGACACTTGCACCACCCTGAAATAGGTCTTGATGACATAACTAAGTGCACAGGGGCCATCTGACTCGCAGTTCTCAAAAGGAACATAAGTGGTGCCTTCATGGAGTAGACCTCTGGCCTACCTAGTCCAGCATTCTATTCTCACAGTGGTCAGCAACTTCACAAGGAAGCCCATTTCCCAGCTATACAGTTGCCAACAAGACTAATAACTATTAAACCCCATGACTTCCGTGAATCGATCCAAACCTTTTTGAAGCCAGCCAAACTGGTTGCAGGCACCACATCTTGTAAAGAAAAAGATCTTACGTTCAAGTGCAAGAACATAGAATGTTGTCACCTTCTATCTAGATAATTCACTGACTTTCATTTTGATGCCAAGAGGCATGCAAGGATACCTTAACTCTTTGTATTATCTAATAAGACAACATTTATTTAACTTTTACTGGGCTTTAAATCAAATTCCTGTTTCTCCACTACTTGGATTTCAGTCTACTTAACTTTGAAGCAGAGTCCTCATTTGCCAGCTGAGGCCCCTTTTGTTCCAGGAAGCATTTGGGGAGGGGGGAGCTGGGGGGGAGGAATGGGCTGGCATGGACCTGGCTTCTGACGGAATAGTGCAAGCCAGAGGAAACAAATGAGGAGGCTTTTGTGGTGCATTCAGTTTGTTAAGCATATTTCTATGCTGCCACATCAGTAAAGACTCCTTAACTTAAATAGCTTTTCATGGATAAAATTTTATTTCTCCTATTAAGAAAACTTATTCTAATTTTGAGAGCCAATTTGGCCTAGTAGTTAGGGGACCAGGCTAGAAACCAGGAGACTTGTGGGATACAGTCCCACTTTAGGCGTGAAATTTGACTGGGTGACTTTGGGTCAGTTTCTCTCAGCCAAACCCACCTCATAAGATTGTTGTGGGAAAAATAGAAGGTAGAAGAAGTATGAGCTATGTTCACTACCTTGCATTATTTATAAAAAAAATGAAGGCACACACACATACGTGCATGCATGCATACAAACAATCATTTTTACTTTGCTGTCTCCAAAAGGAGAGATACTGTTTCTCAGCTGTTCCAAACAGCATTTTGGAAAGTTTATGGAAAAAACTTTCTTTATGGAAAGGAAAGGAATACTTGGGGTGAATTCACATTTTCATCTTGAATTCCCCTAGGGCTAACAATTACTGCAATAGCAGGAAAAAATGAATTCTAAATTTTTGTAGCAATCTGCATATTTGAGATAAGTTCTTTGAAGGCTGCAGAATTTGCTAAAATAGATAATGCAGGAATAACTAACTTTTGCTGGCACTGCAAAACTGATGTTTGGTCTAATATTCTAAGATTGTGAACAAAGTGATGGATTCCTAGAGAATTGAATTAGAATAGTAGAATGGGAAAAACTAATAGTTAAGAGGAGAGATTGGTGATAGTTTTTGCAGCTAATGCATGCCAACGTCTTGAATACTCTGCTACGTGAAGAACCATAATTATTATGTCTGTATATAGATTGATGAGGTTCTAAGACAAGAGGATAAAGCCGAAGCAATGTCTGGCCACATTGACCAGTTCTTAGTAGCTACGTTCATGCAGCTCCGACTCATTTATAATACTCATATGGCTGATGAGAAACTGGACAAGGATGAAATCGTCAAGTTGTACAGTTGCATCATTGGAAACATGATTTCAGTAAGAGTTCTTTATTTTTTTTGCCACTGTAAAATGAGAAAAAAAACAGTCAAAATTTGGTTATTTCTTTTGTGTAAAATTTATTACTTTACTCTGGAACAGGTATACATTTATGTAAAAAAGTAAAGTATACTACACATAAGTAACCTTTATGCAGAATCTGGTTGCTTGGTACATAGAAGGCCAAGTTTCATGTTTTTTATTCATCTTCCTGAATTTCAGGAGTTACCAAAAGAAAGTCACAAACTTAGTTCCCAGAAGCCCAATTAAAATTTAAAAATACATTGTCTACTGTTTGGAAAAGAAGATGAATGGTTTTTATTTAACAAAGCGGTGGCCACGATGTAGTATTTTATCTTGTTTGATATGCTTGGGTTAAATGACCTAGATATTTTACACATACTAATATTTTAATTTTTTAATTCTTGAAGTGCTGTTTTCAGGGCTGAGTAAATGCAGCTTCCCAAATATCTAAATGCAGTTCTTATAGCCCTGTTCTAATCTGCTGCAGTTTTCAGCTGCAATGTCAATCATCTGAAATCAACATGCTTTAAGGTACAAACCATGTGCCTTTAAGAGGCGTGGCTTGTGTTTTATTATTGTGTTGTGGCTTGCCACTGAATTTCTTTAGGCTGGCATGTAAGCATCTCCTTCTCTTCAGTCCTGCCCCACAGGTTCTTTCTGCTCGTCAACACTTCTAAATATATTTATGAAAACAAGGCTTATTAAGAAGGCAAGCAAAATGCAACATTGTTTTCCCATAGTGACCAATCTAATATTGGGGCACTGAAGGGATTATTGAGGCATCAGAAGAGAGAATTATATCTAACATTTAAATTCATTTGACAGTTATTCCAGATTGAAAGCTTGGCAAGGGAGGCTTCTGCAGGAGTGTTGAAGGATTTGATGCATGGTCTCATTACCTTAATGCTGGATTCAAGAGTTGAAGATCTAGAAGAAGGCCAGCAGGTTATCAGATCTGTCAACCTCTTGGTGGTAAAAGTTCTAGAGAAATCTGACCAAACTAACATATTGAGGTAAATAACTTGATGGTAAGATGAAAAAGTCTTTTTAAAAAAATAGTATAATCATCTGCCATAGCACTAATATTCTAGCATGTGCTTGATGAAATACTTTTGTTCCTCATTATAGTTGGATTCAGTTGAGCAATCTTCAAATTCAGTTCAGAAGAGATGGTTTAGAGCAGGGGTGTGAAACTGGCTGGCTACAGGCTGGATGCGTCATGTGCAGGGCACGCCCACCCCACTTTCATGAAGGGGGGAAATGTCGTGAAACATCACGTGACTGCAACGTGACACAGCGAGTTTGACACCAGTGGTTTAGAGCATAAACGCTGCCTGTAGCTAATTAAAGCAGCCATATCTGTTTTTCTAATTGTGTGGTTGCAGTGGAGGCCTTTCTGCATTAGCCGTACAGTCTTAGAAAATGTCATGGATGCTTTCATGAGTTATGGATAGATGTTGTGTTCATAGTCTGCTGTATTTTGAACAATCTCCCAATTAAAATCCTAAGTATTGTACCTCTCTGCATGGTACTTGCTGATTCTTTGTGAAAATAAGTATGACACGGTGATTATATTTAGATGAAACTTAGGAGATTGTTGCTTGCTTTGTGGCAGATGGCTTTTATTCTATTGTTGTTATATGTATTGTAATTTTACATTATTTGTATTAGAGTTTTAAATGTTAGCCAGCCAGAATCACCACAGTGAGATGGCTGGCCATATAAATCAAATAAATAATGCTACTTCACTTAATTCTTCTAGTGCCCTGCTTGTTCTACTCCAGGACAGTCTATTAGCAACTGCTAGTTCTCCCAAGTTCTCAGAACTTGTAATGAAAGTGAGTATGTAGATTTGTTTTCAAATTTGAAATGGCATAATGATATGTATTGCCAACTTGTCATAATTATAGACCTAATTATTTTCTATTGAAAAAAATACAATATGAATACAACTTAGTGTGGTATACTGTTATTAATAGATAAACCTGATAGGTTTAAAAATCTATGTTAAGAGTTGGTGTCTTAATGATCAGTAAACTTAAGTCCAATATAATTGAGCAGACACGAATATTTGTTCATGACTATTTTAAGCTTTTAAAACATCAAGTTTGTCACTGATGATTCTGCATGAGGATATACTTTTCGATAAGCAACTGGTTTTGGTTTCTCTCCTGCCTCCAAGTGCTTATGGAGAATGGTAAGACTTCTCCCTGAAACCATCAACAGTATCAACCTGGACCGAATCATGTTGGACATTCACATCTTTATGAAGGTGTTTCCAAAAGAGAAATTAAAGCAGTGTAAAAGTGAATACCCAATACGGACTCTGAAGACCCTGATTCATACATTATGCAAACTGAAGGGACCCAAGGTAAGACCAAATGGATTTGTTCCAATCTGTGAATGGTTTTCAGCAATATTTAAAAGAGTCTCTCTCTAAAGTTGTAATGTTTCTTTCTAGATTTTAGATCATCTAACAATGATAGACAACAAGAATGAGTCTGAATTGGAAGCTCATCTCTGCAGAATGATGAAACACTCCCTAGACCAAACTGGAAGCAAATCTGATAAAGGCACAGAAAAAGGCGCTTCCCGTATAGTAAGTATTTTGTATTTTAAAATAGAAAGAAAATGGCTGTCACCTTAAAGCTGGTTAATTTTCTGAGTGCACAGTTGGAACCTTTGTGAATTATATCATTTTTACTGTATTGAACTTTTAGCCTGGATTACATAAGAAGGCTGAAGACGCTGTCTGATGTGTCTGGATTAGGATGTCAAGAAACACAGGGAGGCATTTTGCAAAACGTTTGGTTACCTACAGAATATCTCTTGCACAATAGCATGTTTCAGGCTGTGTACAAATTGGGCAACATACCTATTTCCTATAAACAATCAATTTTCTCTTTTTGCATGCATTTACTTATAAACATTTATAACATCTTTCTTGAAAAATGACTTATGGTCATTTTTCACACTTACAGCCATTGCAGCATCCCCACAATCACATGATCAAAATTTGGATGCTTGGCAACCGACTCATATTTATGACGGTTACAATGTCCCGAGGTCATGTGATCACCTTATGCAACCTTCTTATAAGCAGAGCCAGATCCACTTAACAACTGTGTTACTGACTGCAGTGACAAGAAAAGTTGTAAAATAGGGCAAAATTCACTTAACAAATATTTCACTTAGCAACAATTTTGGACTCAATTCTGGTTGTAAGTAAAGGTCTATCTGTACAGTACAGATTGCTGTCTATCCATGCACTGTCCTTGCCAAGGAAAGAGAAGCCTTGCATGAAGTGATGTTCAAGAGAGATGGCTTAAGTGTGTTGTGTTTAGGGTAGTCACAATTATAAGGCTAATTTCTGGTTCTGATTGACACTCATAGTTCTCAAAGCAGTATAGATATCAAATTTGTCTGTTGCTGCCTATAACTTGTCTATAAGTGGCAACATTTGAAGGCTCACTCTTTCGTTTTTCCTCAGCTTTGTACCTTCAGGGCACTATATTTATATATGACCATTTGAAGCTTGCTTATATAGTAGTGTGTACAGTACAGTATTGATAATATTTGTGAATTCTATCTAGCATAGTATTCTGCTACTAGTGAGCCTGAAATCATTATGTTTGCTATTGTTAATAAGTGAGATTAATGCTCTCTGATTTCTTTTCTAAAATAGTGGTTTGTTTTCTTTAAATTAGAAGATGCTGTCCTAGCTTTTCTCCTCATTTATGTTTTGTAAATCTGGCTTACCTCTCGTAGAGTTCTATCTGTGTTTCTAAAGATGCTTCAGTTCCTTAAATGTTGATTCCTCTAGATTTTTTCATTTGTTTTTGTGCATTCTGGTTATTATTTGGATTTTTCATTTGGTTTGTTAATTAATGTCCGAATTCCTTTTATAGGATGAAAAGTCACCAAAGGCCAAAGTAAATGATATTTTGGCAGAGATATTTAAAAAAATTGGTTCTAAAGAAAACACTAAAGAGGTAAGAATTATGCCTAGAACAACAAAAAAAAGTTCTCTTTTTTTCTCCACATGGAAGAAACTCTCAAGATTCGGCCTACTTGACTGTTTGGGGTTTTGGCCAAATTTTCAGATGGGACTTGTAGAACAATAGTCTCAACACTTTTCTTCCTTATCCCTGCTGAACACTTGGCCAAGCCATACCCTTTCTCTTGTTGTTGTACCTCATGCCACTGCTGTGTTTGTCTTTTAGTACAGCATAACCCAATAAGTTCATACCCATCCTTTTCCCCCCCCATCATCCCAGCTCTTTCTTTTCCTTACCTTCTCTTCACTGCTACTGACTTCATTTTTTTCCTAATCTTTTCCAACCTGGAATGCCTATAACTGGGACCAGTATGCAGATCCAGTCGCAAACCACCTAATCCCACTCTTTCATGGAGGCTGTGGTCTATGCATAGAGCATTTTGCATATCTCTTATCAGTTGCACAGGGTTTTTTTGTTGGTTTTTATTTTTTTGGAGTGGGGGCAGCTTTGCAACCTCACATAAACATCTGGGCTAGCCTTTAGGAAAGGTTTAGAGCCTAGCTGTTGAACTTGAACAGAGAATACGTAAATCAACCTTTGACATTTTAAAGTAGGCCCAGGAAAGACCCATTTGAAATCCTAATGACCAAATAATAGGATGTTCAGCTCTGAGCCATGATTAAAAAAAGTTTCATTCGGATTCTGCTTAGTACATTCTAAAGCTACGTACTATATTTTAAAATAAGAAAAAATTATAAGATACCTGCCGCCGCTGAAGCCCTGCAAACCGGAAGTTCTGCTTGGAGCCATGATACTGAACGCAGCTAAATCTTCAGAGCTAATGCCCATTTTTATCTGTACAACTTTTAATAGCTGAGGCATTTTGTTTTTAAAACAGGGCCTGGCAGAGCTGTATGAATATAAAAAGAAATATTCTGATGCAGATATTGAGCCCTTCCTAAAAAACTCCTCACAGTTCTTCCAGAGCTATGTAGAACGAGGTCTTCGGCTGATTGAAATGGAAAGGGAAGGCAAAGGGCGGATTTCTTCTACAGGTAATTGGATACAAACTTGCAGCCAACAGCACTTGTTTTGATGAAGCTATCATATTTTTCCAGGGTCAGCAGAACAGGTAGAGGATTTCAGAAGTAATATCTCAACTTTCTTAAAGTACAGGCCGGGTGTGACATTAAGCAATTATAATGGCTATTCCATCATACTCACATTATGCAGGTAATATCTATGAATAGAAATTTAGAACGTTGCACACATGGTATAGCAGTAAGACTTGTTGATTAACTCTGAGCAGAAAGATATGTAAAGTAAAGACCTAAAATAAAGATATTTAAAGTAAAATCAGCACGATTCTTCTTCCTATAACACAGAAAAAAATATCAGAAGGCCAGAGGAGACTGTAATGATCTGTCCTACGAAGATGTCAGGCACAAAGAACCAAAGCGACACGGAGCTGGTAGTTGCTAGTGTAATTTACAAGAATCTCACCAGACTGACTACATTCTCTTGGGAATAGGCAGATAAAAGGCTTCAGAAATTTTAGCAAAGGCATGGCTTCTGCCACCTCCTCCCCCAAAGGAATTCCAAGTTTGCAAGTCTCTCTACTTTACCCCCATCTAACTGGAGATCTCATGACTGATGATTTCCCATGCCTGTTTTATTTCAGTTATAAAGAAGGCAGTGCTTGTATAGGAAAGAGTCATTTTATAAACTCATCCCACATGGTCCAGTAAACATGAAAAGCACAAAACAGGGAGTAAAATGTCCTACCTGCTTTACTAACTGGGCATTACCAGATCCAGCTTTGCATTCCCAGAATAAGACCCAAAGATAACATAAGCAGTTATGCCATGCAAACTGTCAAGCACAGGAAATTGGGAGTTCAGGCAGTTCAAATAAATATAAAGGTTTAACGCAGGGGTGTCAAACGGGTGGCCCAAGGGCTGGAGGTGTCATAGGCAAACCATGCCCACCCCAGCTCTACGAATGGGAAAGCTGTGAAACATCACGTGATGGCAACGTGATGCTGCGAGTTTGACCCCTGTGGTTTACTGCATCCTTAAGCTCTGTACAAGAATCTGAACTGCTAGCAGTCAAAGCAAATTGGTGATAGATAAAAACCAATGGAATTCAAGGTGGACTGGACTTAGATTTCTTGTGGGCACAAAGGGGCTCAAGTGATTATGCATTTGATCCCACCTTCAGCGTCAGCCTGGTCAACTCCTATACAAACCTTGGTAACATCCCATTTCAATCTTTTGTTGAAGTTCGATTTGACTCATTTGTGGCTTGTGATTTTTTTTTATTTTGTAGGAGTTTCTCCACAGATGGAGGTATCATGTATTCCCACTCCCACCAATGTAGTTTCTTCTGCTATCGGAAATTCAAACGGGGAAGAGGTGGGGCCATCTGTCTATTTGGAAAGATTAAAAATCCTCAGGCAGCGATGTGGCCTTGACAATGCAAAGGTAGTTAAAGTAGAATGAGTAGAAAGTTTTTGACTTATTGTTTTAATTTGTTTATTTAGTTTTTAACATTTCATCTAGTTTCAGGACTTGTATGGAGAACAGGTAAATGTTTTAGGTTATAGTTATACAGAATTATTGAAAATTCAAAAGAGTTTACCAGCCTTTAAGCACCATTGCAAAAAAATAAATAAACCTTGAGTTATAGCACAAATCTAACTTCACTCTTTTTGGTTAGTGGTGATATTTTTTCAGTGTATGTCATAAGTTTAATATTGTATCAGCATAGATGAAGATAATGAGCAAGACTGCATACTCCATGCTTTAAAAAACATTGCAAGAAAATATCAATTCCGTTTATGATCTTGGCCATAGTGAAGATAAAGAATAGGATAATTTTTTAGCATCCTTTCATTTCACGTATATATTTTACATTTCTAAAACTTAAGTAAACCTCCTAAGAAGATTAGTTATAGTGGTATTGTTAGAGCCAATCTTGGTAAAGATTTGGTAGAAATATGAGAAGCACTTTTTTGAATAAGAGTTTTCAAAATCTCTCCTCACAGCAAGAAGACAGAGCATCACTGGCCACCACACTGTCCAAGCCATCGGTCCCCACTGTTGCATCCTCTACAGATATGCTCCACAGTAAGCTTTCCCAGCTCCGCGAATCACGGGAACAATACCAGCACATTGATCTGGACTCCAATCAGACCCATGCTGGCATTGGAAGTACCACTTCCTCTTCTACAGCATCCAATATTGATGACTTGAAAAAAAGACTGGAGAGAATAAAAAGCAGTCGCAAGTGAAATTGCGTGAGACGGTTTGGCTATTGCAGAGCTATCCATCTTTAGTTGACTAAATTAGAAGTCTTCATAGTTAAGTGGCCTCATGCAGGCCTTATGTATACAAACTGGTTCTGTGTATAATACAGCAGATCTTGGAGGAGGATCCAAGTCAATGTGGCACAAATCTTTGTATATATTTTGCTTCTTTGTGAGCATTTCTTGACCGTAGAAGAGAGTCCGTGTATTAGTTTTCATGTACAGAGCTGTAAACAATTCTCTTGCTCAGTCCAATTTCTCAAAACTTGGTTTTATTTGTTAAGTTGTCTTATCTTAGCTCGCTTAAATTTTAGAAACTTTTCGTTGCATTCATTTTTAATTTTGTGAATTACATCTCCATATAATCCTTGAGCTGTTTCTGTATGGACGCATGGCATGAAGCAAGTAATTTAAGTGTCTTTTTGTAAATAAAGTTTGCATTAACTCTCTGTGGGAGCAGCAGTGACTTGATGGCAAATGTTCATCCATGTTCCTAATTGCTATTGTGACTCCACATTTTAATTGTTAAGTGAGTGTGTGTATGAGTCACTATAGCAAATGAACTTTCATTGGGAAAACAAGGAGAAGCTGAGATACTAACGTACAAATGTGTTCCAGATGAAGGAAATGTTTAATATTAATAATATTGTGCTTACAGAAAACTCTTGACCCAAAGCCAGAACATTTTATATCTCAGACAATATCTTCCAGATCTTTTCCTAGAATCTTAATTGAGGACTGGTTTTAAACCTTTTTGAATATTAGATTTCCTCAAGATAGTGGAAGTATTCTGAACTTAAGATGGGCAAACAATTAGTTTTTTCTCAATGTTACTATAATCGTGATGAATCCATTTTCTCTTTCTATCCCAGAAGCTGCTAGCAAGTTTGTATGAAATATATCGCCAGAAATTGTAATAATGACTGAAATATTTGGGACTCTACTTCCAAAATTATTGTGCTTTGAAGTGAATGGATATTGTGACCATTGAAGATCACACTATTTGTCACAATATCCATCCACTTCAGAGCACAATTGTTAGAGAGTTGTGAGAAATTATCTGGCTAACTTACATCTCCTTTATTCATGATTGCCTCATAAGATTACTTCCTCCAGGTGTCATAACATAGAGTTTCTGTAGGCTCTTTAGCACCTTCCATGTTCCTCCTATATGTCCAGCATTCTACTTCCTGGAGTATCAGTTGCTTATATGTCTGACATAGATTTCATTTACATCTGTATGCCTGTTAAGCTTTGGCTGATGGCACTGGTGCTATACAGTAGTTCTATATTGCAACCAATCAAGCTTGGTAATAATCTGTAAAAATATAATTGCTCACTAGGTGCATATATGATCTGTAATCTGGTGGAAAATTAGTGTAATAAGCATAATTATCTGTAATATGTAGATTTTCTTACTTAGAAGATTATCTCCACTTGCCTTGAAGCCTATTCTAATTTGCAATCTTTTCAGATGAAGAATGAATCAGCACCTATCTAAGTGGGTAAAATATCTTGTGTTCAAAAACCACAATAATAATTTGCTAGCACTATGATGGGCCTTGAAATGGTGCCAAAATATATGTATTTTGCTAACATAGTTTTCTTCTGGTACATTATTTGAAATAGTAACAAATCCCTACTTTTTCAATAATATACAAGAGTTCACTTATAGAATCTGGAGATAAACATAAATATTCGGGTATTAGAAATAATATTTGGAAGTGAAGCCTTTGAGCTAAAATATATTAGCCATGTTGATTAACAATGCACTTAGCTTCTTTCCTTTTCTCCTTACAGAGTGTGGCTTTTACCATTTTGATAATACCATTTTAATATTGATTTCCAAAATGCTGCATAGCATTTAAACCATTCTTAGCTTTAACTTAGAACTAATGGAGATGTTTCTACAGGACATTGGAATAAATGTTACCTTTTACCATTAGTTTCTCTGAACTTCCTGAATCTTGGTGATACAATGTTTCAGTGGAGTAACTATGAAATCTTTTCTAGAAAAGATAGAACTAAATTTTTTTGCCAGTGGTTCAGAGAATGACATTTTCTCAGTTACTATATAGAGAACATATTTCTTGGTTATCAACTTTGTTACTTAATGGATGCTTATGTAATATATTCAGTTTCTTCTTCTGTCTTTATAGAGCTTCACTTAGTAAGTGGAGAAATGTTTGCTGCTGTATTAAAAGTGACTGACAGCTCTAAAAATAGTGAAGTCATTGCATTGTTGCTGCTATGAGTTTCTCCGAAGAGAAGGAGTTTTGTTCTATTCTGCTCATCTATAATGTGTCCTATTTAATGCAAAGTGGGCTATGTGTTTGACTATTGGCTTCCACTTTTCCTTTTTGGGTTGAATGAATAGTAGAACTGGCAATATAGAAACATACAAAGAAGCTAATTTTTGCAAAATCATCTATAACTCAATGTAGTGTACAAGTTCTGATGCAAACCTCCTGTCTGGTGGCTGGTTCTCACATTTCATTGGCACCAGCATATGAAAGTATTGATAATTCAGCTAGTTCCAATGTCAGCATCACAATTCCATCATTGGAAGAAGAAGTACTATGTGACTGGCTCTGCTTCCTTTTACAAGGGGACCTATGATAAAATTATTTTTTCAGAAGAAATCATGTTATAAAAAAATATGCAAAGGCTTTTGGTATGTCCTGTTAGTGTTAAATCATGCTAGTTTGAGTTTCTCACTGAGTTTGGACATATTTTTAATAAAAGAATTTTTGCATGAAACTACAGAAATTAGAATGCTTTCCAACTAAATTAAACCAAATATCTGGTTGGTATTTACTGTATTGAAACAAATGCAGTATTGTAGCATTTAATGATAGGTTAATTTTTTTCTCTCCTGATTTCTTAGGTCTTAATTTTTTTTCATGATGTCTGTGAAACACGTATTTAGTTTCTATGCATCCAAAAGCATTGCATTAGAAGACTTCAATAGAAATTCTGTCTCTAAAATACTGTATTTGTCTAAAGTAGTAGTTTTTACTAGTTAACTCAGGGGGTTTTTTTCTCACAAGTGTTTCATTTTTAATGTCTGTTGCATAAAACTAACAGAAAAATAGTATGGGTGCAACAGTATTAATCAGTATAATAATAGGTGCAGGAAAATGGGCATGCAAATTTGTCATAAATAGTTCCAAGAAAAAAATTGATGCTTAGATGTTTTCTTTAACCATTTGTTGGGTGAAAAATCTAATCCAAATATCTCTGTACATTAAGAGCGTTATATTGGTGTTGTTTTTGCTTTTTTTTTAATACTTCCATTACATCTATGTTTCATTTTTACCTTTTTCTTTAAATCATTGAGTGTTTGAAGTATCAGAATGTCTGTTAGAGGTTGAAGGGTATGAAGTTACAAATGAAACTGTAAATTAGCCTCTTCCGATGGATACTCCTTGATTGTTCAGGGGAAAATATTTAACTAAATAAATGCTGTTATTGCCAAACTTTAACAAACAAGCCTATCTTCTTGTTTCTGGGCTTGTGGGCATGAACCTTGGACAACACTGGTCCAAAGATGCCTTTTCAACAGCCTGCCCTTCAACGAGGGAACAACCTCTCTTAACAATGGAATCAATTGTGACATTTAAGATGAAAGCTGTTGTTGCCTTTCAAGCAGAAAGGGATCTTTCTCACACAAATAGGCCGGTTTTTATCTAAATAGAATAAAACGTGGTTGAATGCAAAACCTTTGCCTATTTGTAATCTGTGCCATGTTAAAACTCTGCTACGTGTAATTTCTTTCCCTCAGAACACTTTACTTTCCAAAGAAATAGGAAAGCCAACTTCTTTCTACTTGTATTTGCTTCACAGTTTCCTCTGTTAAAGGTATACATTTAGGAATGCAGAATCATTCTGTCAGATTCGAAAGGTGAGCTTTGTGTAATCGTGGCATGGATGTCCTTCCATTATCTGGATGATTTGGCTGATGCATTCAATAGAAATTGCCTGCAATTGATACCAGGAAAAAAAACACAAGTGTTTTATCTAAAAATCTTTATTCAGGAAGGACTTCGGTTTATTTCCATACGTAGGCTCTTAGTATTGTATGGTTTGATTATTCGATATCTGTAGACCAAGGTGCAAATGCCGATTTTGATTCCTATTTAACCGCCATGTTTCTCAATAGTCTTTTGCATCCATTTCTTCAGACGGAACAGATGGGTATAGAATCCATACTTGCCATCACGATCACAACCTTCTCCCCAGGAGACAATACCTATTTGATACCACCGTTTTGGACCCTGGTAGGGAGGAAAGAAGTGCCACGGAATCAAAGGCGGGGGTGGGGGGACAACAGCAAAGTACAAATAGCATTTGTAGGTCATTTAAAGAAACATGAACAGAACCAGTAGAAAGATTGTGTAATCTACAAGACTATAAGCAAGAAAGAGGTAGCCCGTGAACATTTCTGAGTCTAGTTTTTCACTCCTATTTGAAAAGCATGGGGAAAATATTCAACAACAGAAAAAAAATAAGGTTTATGTCAAGGCAGGAACTTCAGAATTTGGGCTGTGCTAGTGAGAAGGTTCTCTCTTTTATTTTTCCAAGAAGATCCTATAGGCCCGGCTCTTACTAAGACTTCTAAACTGAGATTGAGGCAGTTGCTTTTAAAAAAAGTTTTGACGTGCTGAGCTTTGTCTGAAACAGCTTGTTCTGATCTTGAGCTCCAAGTTAGCCCTGCTACAATTCAAGGGCTATATCTGCTTGTGCCACACCCATGCCACACCCAATGGTAATTGTAAATTCACCTAAATTGTAAATTCCTGCTTTCCTGCTCTTAATGATATGTTTAATTGACTTGTAATGCTCTTAAAGTGAATATTTCTGAAAAGAAATGAACGGTGGCATTAGCAAGGGGAAATTGCACTCCCATTCTTGCTGCAGACTGATGAATAGGGGGCCTGTGACACCAGCAGTTTGCCCATTTTATGTTTAGAAACTTACCTTCATGACAAAAGGGCCCCCACTGTCACCCTCACAAGCATCTCCTCTCTTGGTTTGCGCAGGACTATAACCTAAAAAAAGAACAATTAGTAAAGAGGCTGCACTCTCCTCTATTTTTTCTGTTTCTCCCCCCCCCCCACCTCCCCCCACCCTCGGCTTTTAACGTAGTTCCCGAGCTAATCAGCTTGATACTTGTGAAACAGTGTGGCCTGCTTCACTTGTTGCAATGGCTTACTTCAATGTATAAAGCTAGGTTTACTTTTTTAACAATTGGAGTTATATTCAGCTGGGTTCACTAGATTACACAGAATGCTAATTACTGGTTGTTTTCTTGTTCTGTGTAAACACAGACAATGCCTCTGGTTTGCTGGTTGGTATGCAGAAACTCTACTTTGTGAGGTGTTTAGAATGTTTGCTGCCATAAGACGAACAGGCAATCATGGTTTAAATGATCGATCTATATAGAATT